GAGATCTCGAACGGGCCGATATAGGCAGGAGAGAGCTTCCTGGATTCCGCCCGGATGGGAACGAAGCGTGTGGAAAGCCATACCTTCTGCCCAACAGTATAGGCGGGAGCGGAGGACCGGCGGCGGTCAGCGAAGCGTTTGTTGCGGTCCGCGGTGCGTAACAACGCAGCCCGGGTGGCCTTCCACACCCGACGACACCTACGCAGATGCGCCCGGACGGATGGCACAGAGTGTTCGCCTTCGATGGAGGGAAAAAGAGGTGGCTGGAACCCCAGAGAAGCTTCGAAAGGGGACCGGCCCGTGGCGGAGGAGGTCATGCTGTTGTGGGCGTACTCGATCCAGGGCAGTTCCTCGCTCCAGACAGCCTGGTTGGAAGAGACGACGCAGCGCAGGGCCGCCTCCAACTGCTGGTTCGCCCGTTCGGACTGGCCATTGCTCTGCGGATGATAACCAGAGGAGAGACTGACCTTAGATCCCAATGAGGCGCAGAACTCCCTCCACACACGGGACGTGAATTGAGGACCCCGGTCGGACACGATGTCATCTGGAATGCCGTGCAGGCGAAAGACATGGGTGGTGAGCAGGCGAGCAGTCTCCAATGCTGTAGGCAGCTTGGGCAGAGCAATAAAGTGAGCCGCCTTAGAAAAGCGGTCAATGATCGTGAGTATGACCGTATTACCTGCAGATGGCGGGAGGCCAGTCACAAAATCCAGAGAAACATGGGACCATGGTCTGGTAGGCGTGGGTAAGGGATGAAGCGGACCCGAGGGTGGCTGGTTTGGGGTCTTGTTTCGAGCGCAGGTTGTACACGCGGAGACGTATTCTTTGGCGTCCCGGCTCAGGGTGGGCCACCAAAAGTAGCGCTGCAGGAAAGCAACCGTGCGGTGTATTCCTGGGTGACAGGAGAAACGGGCTGTGTGTGCCCACTGTAATACCTGAGGCCTGACAGGTTGGGGAACGAACAGGCGCCCCGCAGGGCCGCCTCCTGGATCCGGTTCGGCTCTCTGAGCCTCGCGAATGGCCGACTCGATTTCCCAGGAGACAGCCCCCACCACACAGGTGGCCGGGAGGATGGGAGCAGGGTCCGCCGGGTCTTCGGAGGTGGAGAATTGTCGGGACAGGGCGTCCGGCTTGACGTTGCGGGATCCTGGCCTGTAAGTGATTGAAAAGTGGAACCGTGTAAAAAACAGAGCCCACCTTGCTTGTCTGGCGTTAAGCCTCTTTGCGGTTTGCAGATATGCCAGGTTCCTATGGTCTGTCCAAACGATGAACGGTTGGGCAGTGCCCTCCAGCCAGTGCCTCCACTCCCCCAAGGCGAGCTTGATGGCAAGAAGTTCCCGATCGCCAATGTCGTAGTTGCGTTCTGCGGGGGTGAGACGACGGGAGAAAAAGGCACACGGGTGGAGCTTACCATCCCTCTGTTGCGAGAGGACCGCTCCTACTCCCGTGTCGGATGCGTCCACCTCCACCACAAACTGCAGGGTTAGGTCGGGCTGGACCAGAATGGGTGCTGAGGCGAATCGCTCTTTCAGCTCCAGGAAGGCTGATTGGGCAGCATCGTTCCACTGAAAAGGAACCTTGGGAGAGGTCAATTGTGTTAAAGGCAGAGCTACCTTGCTGTAGTCCCGGATGAACCGCCTATAGAAGTTAGCGAAGCCGAGGAACCGCTGCAGCTGCCGTCGGTTGGGGGGTTCAGGCCACTCCACCACGGCTTTCACCTTAGCTGGGTCAGGACGTAGG